GGCCTACTTTCCGTTCAACCTTATGGGACACTCAGCTCAAAATGTCTGCCTCTGGGCCAGTTGGATCTGATCTGGGGGTGGTCCACCTGAGGTCCCTCGCTCTCATAGACATATGGCTTCATTGGAAGATTCCGCTGGACCCCAGTATCCCAAGACAGGAAAGAAGCAAAAAAGCCAAATCAAAGTGTGCTGCTTATAGACTTCAAGCACTCTCTGGGCTCTTTACAAGTTTATTATGCAGGCTACACATAGTACCCCCCCCAGCAATCTGGGTACTCACTTTACCGACCTCAGAAGGAGAGAAGGCTGAGTTAACCTTGAGCCGGTTGCCTGGGATTGAACCTCGGATCGTGAGCACAGTTTTGGCTGCAGGACAGCCGCTGAACCACTGCGCCACGAGGCTCCAGAAAGAAGGATTAACTCTGCTTCTTTTCTCTCCATCGCTGTGCTGGATTGCCTCGTGGTGCGCGAATGAAAGTGCCCTCTTCACAATGAGAGCAATGGCTCTAAACACAGGTACTTCCGACTTTTGAGTTGAAAAAGTGAAATATGGATCAGCCCTGGGGGAGGTCATAACCTCCCAGGCTCTCTCTCTATTTGAAAGTTAAGCTCTCGGTTTGACTCAGCCATGTACTGTCCTCACTGCTTGTTTGTTAGCTTTGACCTCTTCCTTCGCTCTCCCCCTCCCCAAACTCAATAAATAATCCCACCTAATCTCTCTCTCCCTCTCCCTCTCTCTCTCTGCATCTCTCTTCACATTTTGTTGCAAATCCAGCCTCCCTCAGCTTTTCTGGATTAACTGACTGGACCAATTTACATGCCCAGATTTTGAAGCATCAGCAACAAGGATCAACATGGCCTCCTTTGCAACTGTCAGCTGGAAAGGAAGAGCCTTTCCTGTTCCTCCTTGATGAGCCCCCCCAAATATTGCAGTTGTCCAAAAACCAAACACAATCTTCCCCTCCCTGAGCAGGAGTGGACTAGATGAACTCCAGGGTCCCCAGCGAGTCTGTGATTCTGGAGAACGGGCCACCGGCAGGAGAATGTCACAGGGGCCCTGCTGTGTGTCTCTTCTGTTGAGGAAATTATTCATAAGGGATGTGTTGACAACAGTACAACCCTTCTCTTCCCTCACCTAGCAGTAAACGGGGGGGGGGGAACCCCTGTGGCCAGCATCCTACTCAGTATTAGAGAGAGAAGAGAGAGAGAGCGCAATTGATCAGCCTACTGTTTGGAATGAATTCAGCAGTGCTTGGAATGGTTCATTTTTAGGTGTGGAATTCCCAGAACCCCCAGCCAGAGAGGTCAGTATTGTGGATCAAGAAAAAAAAAAGTTACTTGGCCAAGCAAGGGTCTCCTGTGACCGCTGAAAGTTGATCTCCAAAGTTCCTGATCTATTTCAGAGATGTCAGGAACGGAAGCCGGGCTCTCCTGTGTTGGACGTTTGGCACAGAGCCGATACTCTACCTTTCCAGAAACCACGGATGGGGGTTTGGAGCCAGGGTAACAGGACGCAAACTGCCCCCCCCCAAGCACCAACAAAACAGGTGATGTCAAAGACCACCGGTAAAGAGCATTAAAGCTATAAATACAGGACCCAATGACTTTACGATTGGACTTTGGATCTACAAAATAAATGTTCGGCCACTGTGACTCTCCTCCTTGGCCTTCCGAAGCTCTTTTGGCAGCGGGCAAATATTATAATAAACCGAGCAACCAACGTATGCCTCAGTTGGAAAACATCCAGAGGAGAGCTGTGTACACAACCCCATCACTTATGATTGGTGTCACACGGTCGACAGGAGGGATTTGCCAACCCGAACGAGAGCATCTGTTTCCATCACTGGAACACCAAACTCCATAACAGTGTTTCATGGTTGGGGGGGTGGGGGTGGAGAGGGAAGAATAATATGTTAACTAATTATTCGAATCCCAGGTTTCCTCCAAAAAGCTCAAGGCAGCGTACGTGGCTGTCCACCACCCCACAGTATCTTCACAACAGCCCTCGAAGTTAAGTCAGGCTCAGGGGGTGGAAGAGAGAAACGAACTTAATCCATCCGGTAAATGAATGGGGGCTCTAATGTGCGTAGAGCACTGAATCCGCACTGAGTTTCAGTCAGAACTTTACAGGAGCTATCCTGGTGCTGCTCCCAAGCCCAACCTTCTTGTTAATATTTTAACATTTAAAAAACATTTAAAAATGTTTCTATGAGTAGTTTGGTCCCTCTCTCTCTTTTTTTTTTTTGGTGGAATCTCGCATTTTGAAGAGGGCTGAGCAGGCTACATGGGACTTTGACAGGGACACAAGAGAGGGCTTTTTCAGTGGCCGCTCCCAGACTGTGGAACTCCCTCCCACTGGAGGCCATTCTGATCCCCATCTTTGCTGTCTTACTGCAAACAGGCAAAGAAGACCTTTCTCTTCAGGGAGTTATTGCCTGAGTGGTTTTTTTTTAAAAAAATCAATTGATGTACCTTGCTGCTTTGAAAGTGTTTTGATGTTGCTTATGTTTTGTAGTGTAGTGCCTGATCCTTTTTAGCATTTGTATCCTCACGGTTGTTTTATATGGCCCCTTAATGATGTAAGCTGCCTTGGGTTCTTAAAAATCAAGTATTCCAGAGTCAACGGGAATATTTTAAAAACAAGGCCCAACCACAGGCAGCAAACACTGTCTTACAAGGGAGAGGCTGCAGAGAAGAGCTTTTAAAAGCTGGAGTTTTGAAGATTCATTTGGAAGGGCTGCAAACGGCTTCAAGGCCGTCCAGCCTCCCAGGGTTGCTGGCCAGGATTCCACTCTTGTTATATAGCAGCGGCCCCATAAATCAGGAATTAATCTGATTGCACGCGAGAGTTAGGAGCTTAAACTGATCTCTTCCTCTGCGCGTCAAACAGCATCCAGTTCCCTTCCCCCCAACGGCCACTTTTTGGTCCTTAAAAAACGCTCTGTTTGCAGCCGGCTTAATGTGTGGCTCAACAGGGATGCGGATGGCTTCCTGGTTTCCAAAGTGTCAAAGGAAAAAAAAGAAAGAAATTATTCTTTCGGTCTCCACTAAGAAAGCTGAAAGTGGGGAGGGATTGTCGGCCAGTGTTAATCGGGTTCCGTGCATGTTTACTCCAAAGTAAAAAAAGGAACCAAGGAGCCTCACATGTCCAGAGTTGTTTCGAGGCTGCGCTTGCATTTAGGGTGGACTTCCTTTGACTGTATGGATGCAAGAAAGCCATCCTGGGATGCCATTTTAAAAAGGAAGAGATCCCTGCTTATAAGGTTCCTTTCCCCTCCTTCCACCGAAGGCCTCTTTTTGCTCATGAGCTTTGGGGGAATTCAACATTCACCAGTTCTTCGCGCAGATGCAAGGAGGTGGGGGCTTCGAAACAGACAAGAAAAAGGAAACAAAAAAGGGGGGGACCAACTTAGTAAATCCCTGCGGGAGGCGGAATTCTGGGCCCAAGAGGCCCGAGTTCGAATCTCTCCACCTGTGGCCCTGGGGCAAAACCCCTCTGCCCAGGATAAAGGGGGCCCCTCCCCGTGCACGACACCGTGTCTCAGCTGCCTAAGGAAGCCTGGCTGCTTTCCCCCCACCCCACCCCATGGCGGTGGGTCAGAAGAGCCCTAAAGGCAGAACCAGCGAAGAACCTGGCCGCTCCTAACGGGCCAAGCACTCCCCAGCCAGATGCCCCTCTCCGCCCCAGGGAAACCCCGACCGGCCGCCCAGCCTGCCTGCCTGCCTGCCTTCCCGACCAGGAGCTCCAGCAACACGTTCGCCGGCATCCTACGCATTGCAGACCCGGCCAGACGCCAGAAGAGCCGCCTCCGCTGGATTCACCTGTTGGGAAACTCTCTCTA